TTCCCACACTGTCCATCGGATGGGATCTCACTAGCCTAATTGCCTAAGAGCTCGCTTTCCTTGTAACCAGAAGATCCTGGGGTCGAAACCTTGCATTGTTGTGGGTGTGTATTGGTGAAGAGTTAGTCCCAAACTAGACTGATGAAACAGTTGTTTGGCAGTACTCCCTTGTCGTTTTCCAGTGGTTGTCTAACCAATGTCAGATCATGATGGAATCCTGTAACCAATCAAATCAAATCCATGCAAACCAACACTTGAATCCTAATGTTACTTAATTGTTCGTACACCTGACTAATAGGAGAGCTTTTGGTCTCTGTATTTTAGTCGTAAGTGTAGAAAAGATTCCCTTCTACCCGAAGCCTCAGGACAAACAGGAAACTATTTAATATGGCATTCCAATTTCTTCTGTCATCTAAGTGTCATTATAAGTGGTCAAAATTTCTGAAGCAGTTTCAGTTATTATTACAGATCTTATATCTTAGTGGGATGACTAGGAAAGCGAATTTGTGAGGTTTTATTGCCCAATTTGGAATCTGTTTTCACTATAAACCCACTGGAAAACGCTATCTCGGATCTATATTATCATGAATGTTCAATTAACTAATACTTCAACAACTAATCTGATTTGTAGGGATTCAGTTTGTTTTCCTAGTTTGACCACTGATTTATATCATTAAAAGAACCATTGAAAACCACCAGGGAGTGCTGGACAGTCAGTTATTTTGTCAAAGTTTGGAAGTGATTCATTAGCAGTACGCACCCACTGACAGGTTTCGAACCCAGCACCTTCCGGTTATCAGACAAAATCATTGACTATGCAGGCTATTGTGACTCGACTGCTCAGTGGCTAGTCCATGAATTCTGACTTCTACCAATTCGTGATTTTAGCGCAACTGGCACCAGCTAATGTCATCGGCGGCGAGCGTTTCTCCTCATTCCCCACCTGCTCTACCCCACTAGTCACGACTTCTCACTAGAACTCAAGGAAACTCTGTCGTTTAGCCAGTCACTGGCGAGCACCACATTGTTTTTCAAGAGTTGATGTCAAGGAACTTAGCCCTAAGTTCCTATTGTAATGAAGACGTCTTCGTTTTGAACCGATAAATACTATGTGTATATTTCAAATTTAAATCCAAAACACCAGTATTCCTTGAACGAAACTATATTGTTTGGCAATTAAAGCGAGACAAATACAAAGTCTACAAACAAATGTTAAGTACAAATGAAGTTATAAAGTACTTTTATTCGAAAAAAATTATATTTGTAAAATATCAGCGATATTGAAATAAGTAAATCCAACGTATCGTTCGGCAATCTGATCCGAACTTCTTCAGGGAAATGAATCAAAGAAGACAATGCAATAAGTTCGACAGGGTGCTTAAACTAAACTCTAATCCTAAACACCATAATTTTGAAAATACGTCTAATCATAAAATTCTAGATACTAGCAGTTTGAACGGACATGAAGTTTTGATGTTAGCTGATGCATAGGAAATCCTGATTAATAAATAAAAATGGATATGTACCACTAATTAATAATACATGGTCAAATTCCTGACTGTCTATATCTTCCTATGGAGACGTTAAGAAATGTTTTACAACTGTTTACACACACACGCATGCACACTCTGTTTAAAGTATTTAACAAAGGTAGACCAATATTTGTAAGTCCGAGGTCAAATTTTGATCACAGCTCATACAATTTTGTTTATTATACTTGTTAATACTTGTGTTTATGAATCATGATTGGACAAAGTTTTTAAAAAGATGTGCCTTTTATATATAAAACCTCTGTTATGTTAATTTTGATTAATTTCCCTGAAGAAGTTCGGACCAGATTTCCGAACGAAACGTTGGAATTACTCATTTCAATCTCGCTCAGATATTACAAATATAATTTTTTACAAATGTCTACTTCTCACTCGGAGCCCAAATATTTTAGAACTATTCGGTCAAATCTGGACGACAGTTCATTTGTATACTTTTATTCATATTTGTTCAAGTCTTCATTCAACTTGCAAGCGATCGAACCATTCGTGCCTTCAGATTGCCCACCAATGGCTGCCAGTTCCAATAAACAACCGTTCAATGTTCACTTCCTTTGACACTCCCTGGCAAAAAAGGGTCCATCCTTTTTTTCCACAGCGGCGGTAACCTTGAACTGAACTGCCAATGCGGGAATCTGGGCCAATCGGGACTAGGCTAAAATTGGCAAAGCAAGACAAAAAAGCCCAACACACAGCAAGCATACCACATCACACCGACACGCCCTCCCCGGCGCATGGGATCTACACTCTCTGACGATAGTACCACCACTGATCTGGTTCACGAAGTATCGATTGCTTCATTCCACTCTAGCCCAATCCTCTCCCCGGCGTATCCAATTGCGTACGCTGACTCTAACACTGTTCGATTCGTTCACAAGTTTAGAAGCGAATTCAGAAGTACTTACAAAAACATTACAAGATGATTCACACAACGCGACAACTATAAAATTAACCGACAATCAGATGAATCGGAACCCACTTAGTTACTTAACACAAACATATGTATAATCAATATATCAAATGTTGCGGATTCTGCCTTGACGAGCTACCCTTGAAGAACTGTAGGACTTACAGCAGTACGCCTACATTCCTTCCCAGGTTGACGATCCAAGTGGAAGTCTTCCGGACACAAACAAAATTAATCAACAGATAGAAGAGGGATGATACTAATTCATTATATACAACATGAACATATGTACAAAATAATACACCAAGTACAACGAACTGCTCTTCGACGTACTACCCTTGGAGAATTGTAGGACTTACAGCAGTACGCCTACAACCCTTCTCAGGTTTACGCCCTTAAGTTGGAAAATCGTCGTTGAGTTCATTTGCTGACCTCCTTCCATCATCTATATCCTCAACTCTGAATGGTAACACGCCCGTGACATTGTATCGTGGAATGTAGATGACTAACAAACATACGACGTATCTGACCAACCAAGCGAAGGTACAGAGTAATTTGCACCAAAGATAATAACATTCAAATAGTAGTTTGAAACCTGAAATGCCTTTATTCGTGCAAGTCAGTCTAACAGTTACCCTCTTATACACAGTTGGCTTATCGTCACTAAACTGGCCATTGACTTTCGTCCCTTCGAACGGACCCACACTAGCATAATCACTGCATAAGACACGTGGGTTCATGGAAGGCTCTTTTACTGCATATGACAACACCAACGACGACTGGCTGACACCAGTTGATGAACTTAGCGGTGTATCAGAAGCTGTTGTTGTTAGACCTTAAGGAGGTTGTCTAACCACAGGATTACCACCACTGCTATCTTTTATTATTGGCTCCAGCTCAGCTTTAACATCTGTCGATAGGTGGACTACACGCGAACCATTTACACTGACGGTCTCATGATTATCCATATCTGCAGCAACCGCATCTGCCTTTAATTCTACTTCACTTTCAAGTTGTACAGAACCTTTAGTCAACTCACTAGTAGAAGGCATCCCGCTAATCTCATCATGATCAGCCACAGACAAATGTGAACTACCGTTACCATTGTCACAAATCCCCTTTTACCGCCGTCTGTATGATCGACTTCATCATTTTCACACTCTTTAATAACAGCCGTAGATGACTTAGGTTCTTCCTCATGAATCCTTAAAGCTTTTATTCCTTTACTCTGACTAGTAATACCTTGTAAACTTGTGGAGTCAGAACATGACACTGAAACTGTAACCCTCTTCTTATGCACAAACTGCGGTGTCGTCTGAGACACTCTTTTCAACAATGGGTTACCAGTTACGACTACAGGCTTCTGCACCGCACCATTAGCGTTACACGATTCGGAGTCATAACACGATGACGCTGACTTCACATTTAGCTTGCCACTAAACTTGCTCATTGCTTCACAGTTCGCCTTTGCATACACTTCTTGCAAACGGACGAAGCACAACCGTGTTTGTCTTGCAGCTTGTAACTTATCCGTTGGGGACGTCTCACTAAAGCTGTCACAATCATTAGGTTTACTAGACACCATACAGCTTTCTCGATATCCACTACGCTGAGACCCCTTCGTCATAAACGATTGCATTTTACTCTCTGATTTCTCTATTCCAGGGGAGGGATGCAGTATACTAGCAAACTTGCTCAAAGCTTGGTTGACACTGTCTTTCACCAGGCTCACAATGTCATCCAACCTGGGCTCTAAACCTTCCTCCTCTAGACGTGAACAAACCTTTATAAACTTCCTTTGTAGACGAACAGGTAATCTCTTGGCAACAGTCTCAAGCACGGAACTTGAGTTCAATTCATCTACGCAGTTAAGAGACATGAGTGTACTTCTATATACCGTCAAATTATCCAAGAACTCTGCAAGTTCCTCTGCATTATCGTTTAACTGTGATCCGTTACCTTTCACTGTCTCGAAAATACTACGGGATATGATAAATGGTTTTCCAAACCTTTGACGTAGTATCTTCATTGCCTTGGTATATCCTTCGTTCGGGGGCATAAACTTGCAGCACTGTATTGCTCTTGCAGCCACACCAGTGCAATATCTCAATAAATACATTAACTCCATTTCATCATTTAATACAAAACCACTCAGCATGACCTCAAACTCTTTGATGAACTGTGGGTAGTCGGCTGGGTTTCCATCGAAGTATCGCGGTTCAAACTTAGGCAATCTTAAACCCTTACTACCCCTTAACGGTGAAGCGCGAACATCAAACTCAACATGCTGAGCATCATACATATCATTACAATTAACAGGCAACTTATCGTTACTTACATTTTTGTCTGCTTCCATGGCGCCAAATCCCTTTCTTGACCCAGGCATTATCCATTGACAGTCGATGTGTATCGATTTAATTTGTTTTTCAATATTGACCACGGTTTGATATCACAGTATCCTTGTCAAAGAACACAAATATTAGGCTGAGTTAGGAAAAATTGTTCTACTTTTCGAAAGTGACTCAAATTTTGTTTGTCACAGAAGTATGTTTCCTTCTTTTGAAGTGTTTACTTCTTCTTCTTTGGTGTATTTCAGTGCTCAAACAGAACAAGGACTATCCAGGAAGCATCTTTTCGAAGGTAAATTCAAATGGTTTGCATAATTTTGTATATTTTATACTGTCTGTGTTCTGGTAAGGTCATTTGTAATATGATCTGAATGAGATAAATTGAGGTAATTCAATTTTAACGCGCTGCTCTTAAATGAAATTAGTTGAACAATAAAGGTATTTACACTGAATGGCACTCAACACATCATAAGTGTATCAAATGATGAGGCTGTAATGTGTAAAGTTACATTCTGAGGTGCACTTATTTGTGTTTCATGTAAGCTACATTGACATCATGAATAACTCCTCTTTTCATAGCCAGAGTCAGTATTTATCAGGCTGATGGTGATATGGTTAAAAGTTCAGCACAGTTAAATGGAATATTTGAAAATGTCACTAATTTTTCATTTACAACAACCAATGACAATGAATGAAAAAATTGTAGGTATCACAAATCAAGTAACATAAGTGAAAACCGTAAATTTGTAATTTGTAGCTTATTCACTTCAGTAAGATAAGGCTGGCTGGCTAACTGCCTGTTATTGCACCTATGATATTCTTAACTGCAGTGGACTAGATTATGCAGCACACTGTATGTAAGGAGCGAGAAGACAGGAATGTATTGGACTGACTCTAGACTCTAGAAGATATGGATTTCGTGTGTGAATGATTTGGGTTTTAACGTCACACAAACTCGAAGACTTGCAAGAAGGCAGGCAAGCGAAAACCAACAAACTGGCTGAAGTGGCAGGCGGCGAAGACAGGACTCCAGATGAATAGAGAGAAGACGGAGATGATGAAGTTAATCAACCAACCAGCGAACTAACAGTTACAACAATGAAGGTTAGCAGCTAACAGCAACAGTAACACAGCAACCAGTACCAGCCACCATCAACGGGAGAAATTTTACAGAGGTTACTCGCTTCACTTATCTGGCTAGGAAGCATCGTTTCAGCCACAGGTCAGCGAATCGAATGAATATGTCAAAGACAGTTGGAATGCGAAGGGTAATATACGCCTTCATGAATCTGAAATAAATTTAGTAATCTTCAGCACTCAACATAACAAATGTCCATGGGAAATTTCTCTAATCCCTAAAATTTAAAATGGATGAGCGTGTTTATGGGTAAGTTTCAGACAAATACCATAAATCCGTATGTTCAGAAGCTTCCTCTCTGTGTCTGTATCACACAGCTAACCAACAGGATAATAAGCTACATCAATAAACATAACCTAATCTGGTTACAGATTTGTCTAAACACAGGAAATCATTAAGACGACACTTATTTATACCCTTCATCATTGTTTTAAAACCTTCAAGGTTTGTGACCTACTGAAATCTGTACTTCGAATAATTCTATATTGAAAAATTTCCGGTCAGAGAAAATACTTGAGAAAAGTAATCACATTAGTGTTAAACTGCATTTATATATATCACTATTTACTAGAATTTCGGAGATGAAGACTTTAAATTTCAAAGTGTAATGAAAATTCTCAGAAAAGTGTTGCACGAATTCACATCCCAATGGAACTAAATTAATTTTAAAGGGAAAATGTTGCGATTTTGTAGGAGAGAGGTAAATTCAGAGGAGAAGGCATTAGGGAAAATGATGTGGACGTAGGTTTGCCACTTCAAACACTACGGAAGCTGCTACTCTGCTGTACGATGAATATGTGGTCTCATTTTAACAACGAATTTTACTGTGAGGTGCAGGGTGTAGCAATAGGATACCCTCTAGTTCCTCTCCTAGCCGATATGTTTATGCCGAAATTACAGAATCATCCACTCGAAAACGTTATCAACGAACTCTCGTTGTACTGCAGATAAACTGATGGTGCTTTCATCTTGCATAATAATAAAATAGATGCTGAGGTCCCTCACTAAATGTTCATTATTGATCACCCACAAATTGAGTCCGCATATGAAAAGCAGAAAGACAACATCTTATCATTTCTTGATGTCGTGCTAACAAGAAGGCAAGATGGCAGTATTAAGACGGGAGTCATGGGTCGGTCAATACACCCATTTCAAATCATTTGTTCCTCTTGCATGCAAACGAAATCTTATCGGCACCCTGATGTATCGTGCTAGAAAAATCTGCACAACCGACACTCTTGACGATGAAATAAGGAAATAGAAAACTTTTTATACGAGAACCGATACGCCGAAACATTTGTTGAAGTCTCAATGAGGAGAACAGATATAAAGAAATGCCTGCAAGCTGTGCAGAAAAAACATATATATGTGACTCTATCGTTTAGATGAGACGCAGCAACTGAATTGCTGACATCGAGACTTACAAAGATAATAGATGAAACATTGTTTGCCACAAAATTGTGTTTAAAATTCATCACTCGTTGCATAATTCCAGTACTGGTAAAGGATAAGCTACTGAATCTAACTGCTCATGTGGAAACACCTACATAGTTAGAATGACTCGGAAAACTCACCGTTGCCTTCTAGAGAATCGTCCCACGTAGTTAGGTAGAATAGTCGCCAAGGGAATCAGAGTTTCCATACTGACACATCTAGTGGATACAGGGCACACGACTTGCAAAAATTCAGCTTTTACAACTCTATGCAAGGTGCTACACCTCCTCGGTTTCTAGACATAGTTGAGGCGGTTGCCATAATGATTTTCAGCCCTGTGTTCACAAAACGTTTGTTCAGTGTCCCTCCCTTCCTCCCTTGGCCTTCGTCGCCAACCGAAAATAGTTCCCTCTTCTGATGACATAGGGTAACTATAAATGTTATCTTTTTTTATATTTTTATTTTATCTTAGCTGTAATGCTAATTGTATTATCAATATCATCCTGTGCTGTGCTGTGCTGTAGTTGTACTTTTTTTCCTTGGTTTCACAATTTATCATTATTATTATCTTATCTAATTGATATGTGACAATAGTTATTTTCCCCTTTACCCATAATAGCATGCACATTCTACTTATACACTCACTGTTGCCTAGATTATATGAACACTTGAATGAATTTATTCCCATTAGTGTCATCATTATGATCACCTCGATTGTTATCCATTAATTCACATCCCTAAACTCTGATCCTTGATATTTTATTAACCACGTATTAATTCGAATGCCTATGACCACTAATATTTCATCATCATGTAAATGTGAAGCCTGATGAGAATTCTCCAAAAATACATATTTGTTTAGATCGCGTTCTATAATTATCAGGAGGAAAGTGACTCAAGAGAAATCAGTAGATAAGATACATGCTTAACCCACACTGTATGCAACCTCTACATAAAACGAGAAGTCAGTGTATGCCAGTCTTAATCATAAAATTGTTAGACATGGAAGTTTCCATATTTTTCAGAACTCTGGCTGAATTTTGTATTTTAGTGTGTGTAGTGTTTCAAAACTCTAACTTGACAAGCCAATTCTATTATTTTCATTATTATTGCTTTTCTCAATTAGGTCTTCGTTCTTCACTGGAAAGACTTCAACTTGAATATGTAGATATTGTAATTGTAACACGTCAGAAAGACTCATTGATTCCAGTTGAAGTTGTCAGAACTTGTACACATCTTATTCATCTTGGATGGACATTTTACTGGGGGACATCTGAATGGCTGCCGTCTGAAATTATGGTAAGTTTTAAGAGGCTTATCTATCTTAATTTTTAAGTGATTACGTGTATTATTATTATTCCTTTGGGTTCCGAGTGGAACGTAGGGCTTCAACAACACATCTACACTCCGTTGTATTTCCTGCTGTCTCTCATCTTCGCCGTACCACACGATCTCCTCAGTGTCACCCTGGGACGACACACTCATTGTTTCCAAATCAGGTCCCCCTCCAGTGATGGGCTGTATTGTGCGTGATGCCATTCGATGGCCTCCCCATTGGGGTGTTCCCAATCCGTCTCCACTTTCTCCTACATATTTGTTGAGCGATCGACTCTTAGTTGGTTTGCCGCCAGCCAGAGTTTCTTGTTACTAATTATTTCTGGTCATTGGATCTTTAGTATGATTACGTGGAGCACAAAACTACTATCTTTGGTTTATGTCTGCACATACTACTGTCTACTACACAGCAAAAATGCGTATGCTGCTACGTTAGTTCATGTTTATATGTGCTGTTAATTTGTGTTTAAAACTTAGAAACTGTGGTAGTATAAAATTCCATATTAATTTGTTTATTAGATATATCTTGCAGTGAAGCAACAGTATTATTATTATTTAATGCATGACAAAGTTTCGAACACAATTTATTGCTGCTCATAATCATTTTATCAGTTATAATCACACAACTTCAAAAACTGAGTTTTATAGTTTTATTCTTTATTCTCTCTTATTCGTCGTAGTAGAGGGGACTGTAGTAGAATTTTCCGATGTCCAACTGGACAGGTGTTAAATCATTCCTATTATATGTATTCGCTTCAGGATTTCATCATGAGCTGACATCGGTTATATATATATATATACATGTATGCTAACTTCTGCCAATTCACCAATACTTGAGTATTCGCTTCAGTTGATTCGATGAATACAGACAGCTTCACTTATTAGATTTCAGAACTGTTGGTGACATCATGATAGCCACACAATGACTCACTGTGCTTGTAGTTGTCTTCTGGTTGACCGGAGTAGATTACTGACTCTCCAGTTGACAATTTGACTAGTCCATATCCATCGTACCTGCTCCCACAGATTCCATGCCTGTCTATAACATATCTTCGCATTTCGTTGGCTAACTGCTCGGTCTTTTCAGTATCGTATATTGTGCAATCATTCCACGCCCCCATTCTTATTCTTGCTTTCATAGAAAGAAGACATATCGGCTATCTAGCCCTCCGAAAGATTCACGAGCCCCGTGTCATTTCACCTCTCCGATTCCAGTGAACAACAGATTTGTTTTTGATATTTTTCTTGTGCATTGATGTTTCTGTAGCAGTTTGATTGATTTTCTGAAGTAAAATCGCTAGCCCGACGCCCTTCGAATCTCTCCCTCTTTTCCCTGGCTTCGGATGGGCTAGCGAACTAGCGAGCTAGTAAATTAGACGAGTCTGACACCACTTAGCTAGTCGTAGAAATTCAGCATTTGAATATTTATTGCCACTTAACACCAGTAGCCACTATTTTCCTTATTAATCTTCGTCTATAAAAACAGCAATTTTCTAGATAAAACAGGACATTACACCTTTTACCTGAGATTTACTTCCAGAATGTAGAACCATCGTCTGATATAAAAATCTCAACATATCACCATTTCTCTTAACCGATGTGTAAAGCAACCCTCATACCACATTTCTTTGAGAGGAAAAAAATGTGATAAATGTCAGCAGACAAAATTAACTGGGATTAAATAATTATAATATTTTGTTATTTTTATATGAAACTGATGATCGAATCAGACGAGGGATAGAATTCCTTTCTCCAAAGTCGTCGTCTTTTTCTAATTCTAAATAGAGTAGCCATTATGGTTAAATAACTTTGTTTCTAGCTGCTGAAAAAGGATCAAATCAAGCGTTAGAAAATAATGAAATTATCTAAAGGAGGGAAATTTATCTGATTTACAATGTGTCCATCAAGCAAAATCCATGTTACCTTGGGTATATACTTATGCTTATACACGCTGTCTCGGATCACCAAATCATTGAGGGCAGAGAAGTCTGCGAAGAGTTCCTCGCTCCCATTCATTTCGCCGAGCGACAGCCTCTCAACGCATGATCAATTTTCTTCATGTACTATCTGCTCTTAGTCTGGCTTGCATTCATATCTCCAATAAGGATTTTGATGTTGCCATTTGTGATGTTGTCCATTACTCTTTGTAGTTGTGTGTAAAAATCTCCCTTCTTATCTTGTTTCGAGTTGTTTGTGGAAATGTGCATGGCATTACATGATTGTAATTTTCCTTTCTTTCGAGTTGAATTTCGCTGTCATTATCCTGCAGGAGTAAGTGAGTTCCCACTGCATTATAGCTGTGGTTGTTACTGGTGACATCATGATAACCGCTGAATGCCTCAGTGTGCTCGTAGTTATCTTCTGGGTGACCAGACCAGAGTAGATTACTAACTTTCCAGTTGACAGTTCGGCTAGTTTGTATTTTTTTCATATGGGTTGCAGATTCCACGCACTCCTAAGCCATATCATCTTATTTCTTTGGCTACCTGGGAAGCTTTCTCGGTTTCATAAGTTTTACGAACATTCTATGTCCCTATTGTTGTTCTTGCTTTCATTGAGAGAAAAGACATCTGCAGACTGGCCTCTCGAAGGCTTTCACTAGTCGGTATCATTTCGCCTTTCTTGTTGCAGGGAGAAATACGTTTGTCATTTTTATTTCTGGTATTTTAAATATTTTTCTTGTGCCTTGATGTTTTTATGGCAGTCTGATCGATTTTCTGCGGTAGGGTCGCTAGCTTGAGGCCCAAACCTAAGTCGTTTCCGTTTCTTGGGACAGGCTATAACACTAGCGAGCTAGTAAACTAGGTGAGGTTCACATCACTTGGCAAATCGTACAAATTCAACATCTGAATATTTTCGTAATTAATCCTCATTTATAAAAGCAGTAATTTTCTAAATAAAACAGCATATTACACCTTTTACCTGAGACTTACTTCCAGAATGTAGAACCATCGTCTGATATAAAAATCTCAACATATCACCATTTCTCTTAACCGATGTGTAAAGCAACCCTCATACCACATTTCTTTGAGAGGAAAAAAATGTGATAAATGTCAGCAGACGAAATTAACTGGGATTAAATAATTATAATATTTTGTTATTTTTATATGAAACTGATGATCGAATCAGACTAAGGAGAAAATTCCTTTTTCCAAAAATGTCGTTTTCTTCTAATCTCAAACAGAGTAGACGGTGTGGTTAAATAGCTTCGTTTGTAGCTGCTGGAAAAGGATTTACAATCAACTGATTATTGACCGTTGTAGCTATTCTTACTTCCATAATAATAATAATAGTAATGATAATAATAGTTGGTTTATTGGATATATGAAACGGTACTATTTACTGAATGACATTTTGAACATAATTTATTGTTTCATAATCATTGCAGCAATTATAATAAAACACACAACTTTGAAACTTGATCACCACAGTTCTCATTCTCCCTCCCCATTTGTCTTTAGAGTAATAGAATTATCCAGGAGGAAAGCCAATGTCGGTTATAGGATCCTGTGAAGCTCATTAAATAATACAGTTTATTTTATCTAATATCATACAATGATTGTGAGGTCTGATACATATTTCCATGTTGCAAAACAGGGTCAGTTAGTCTCAGTGAACCACAAAGAACAGACTTAATCTAGATCATCTGACCATAACAAAAAGAGGAATTTAGAAAACACTCAACTAAAGCATTAATTGAAGTTAGGTATGACCGTACAGTAGAATGGGACAAGGTGATTGTACTAAAATCTAATGTGACAGTATGGAGGGAGACATTGATAACTGTGAAGCTTTATTCGTCGAGTCGACTGGGAACATGTACAATAAGAATGACTCAAAACTTATCTCAGTTATCTGGTAAACTCTACTAACTAACAAATTAGGATTATTAGGTGATATCTAGATAAGTTCATGAGTGAGTACCTGAATGGTTATCAAAAGTAGAACGCAGAATAATCAACAGCTCAAATCTGATCAGGCGGTATGAGCAGAGGCTTCATTTAGAGTCATCTGTAGGTTAAGATCGAACCGTTCAAATGAATTTCGCTTACATTTTCTTTATGTAACTGAATCTCTTAGAATCCTTAAGGAAAAACTTGAAATCCAGAAATGTTTTATCCAGCCTCATTTACTAACATCACCTTAATGCCAACTTTGTCCTCCTAAATTGTTGCATAATAAACTCTGAGAAGTCTTTTTATTTTTGAATTATTTCACTTCTTTTTCAATCCTTTGTTCCCCTGTTTTCCACCATCAATTTCCTCCTAATGATTATTTATCAGGCTGATTACTGAATGAACGGTATTCTTTTCGATAACTTCTTCATTAGGTTCTATAGTTTTATGTATTTATCATGAGTTGACAACATCACTTAGAGAACCACTAGGAATCCCTGGATCAAATCCTGTAACCAATCAAACCCTTGTAAAACCGACAATATAGTTATATATCCAAATAATGTTCATAATTATCTATCACTTAACTTGTTATTTATCAACTCTCTTGATTCATTAAGGTTACTCACCATTTTGTAACTTCTCATACACATCGATTCATTCCACTACTATCTGAGAATAACCTCTGACCTTTGTTGTCAGTTAACTTTGTATATATAAGTGCCTAAGTGACTGTACAGATGTGAAATAAGATTCCGAAAGGCGATCTGTTTGTTGACTTATGTGTGTTTTTAAATGAGTAGTGACAACAAGGATGATAAAAGTCAAGTTTTAAAGTTGTATAATTATAGATCACGTGATTAAGAGCAATAAATTGTGTTCGAAACGTTGTCATCCAGTAAATAGTAATACGGTTTCATCATTGTGGAATATATCCAATCAACAGATTGATATAATATTACATTCAATCACAACACCTATGTTTTACACCTGTATTAATGTATGCGTATTTAATCTGGCTAAAGTTGTGATAATGAAAAAGTAGAACTTGAGCACTGTGGTAGTAGAATGTAATTCCATATTAGATAAGTTTATTTCTAATGACCACACAGTGATGATGATGCAGTATTAACAACTGGATGACAAGGTTTCCAGCATAAGGTATTATTGCCAGTCATAATCATATCACTGTTAGTTACACGGTTTCACAATTTGTCTTTTACATATATTTTCTCTGTATTCTGTCTCTCCAACTCTACTCTATTGTTTGTTGCCACTTTCCAAATCTGCGGCATGGGCGTTGCATCGTTTCGACTACACTTGTGAGGTGTTGAGTCGATAAACAAAGCTTCAATGATTAACCTCTCCGTCTCTCTCTAACTGACTTTATTACATTTTAATACTCTCACCCTCTCCAACTCAACCTATTTTGTGATTACATGCAAGTTAATGCAGTGCAATGGCTGAGCTTTCTTCCAAGTTATTTAACTTAGAAGGGTCAATCTTTCTGACTCTGGCTACGTTTTTATGTTTCAGTAATTTCGTTAACCTGGATCTACTAGTGTGACGACCAGTGCAACTGACCTTACTAACAGTCACTAACTGCATTGTATTTGGTAAATTAATTGGATGTATTGAGGGCTTAATCCTACAAACAAAGTTTGTCTCTGAAAGGCCTTACAAAGAATTTTCAATGACGCTAGCCAAGAAACCAAATCTCTCAGAGATAAACTTTGTACGTAGGCTTCAGGAACCAATAGATCCAATTAAGAAGAATCATATAATTGCCAAATACCATGCAACTAACGACTGTTAGTAAGGTCAATTAAATAGGTCATGAAACTAGTAGACCCAGGTCGATTAGATTACTGGAACATAAAAATTTGCTTAACCTAGAATAATTGACACTTCTAAGTTAAATAACTTGGAAGAAAGCCCAGCTATTGCACTGCATTCACTTGCATGTCATCACAAAATAGGTTGAGTTGGAGAGGGTGAGAGTATTAAAAATTAATAATAGTTAGGTGGAGAGAGAGATAGGGAGGTTAGTCACTATAGCTTTGTTTATCGATTCAACACTGCAAAAGTGCAATCGAAATGACGCAATGCTTATACCGAATATAAGGAACGTGACAGCAAACAGCAAAGGGAATTTGCATAGAGAGACTGAAAGAGAATTTATATATATATATATATGTAAAAGACAAATTGTGAAACCATATGACTAAATTGATGTGACTATGAGTGGCAATAACTTATGCTACAAACCTTGTCACATCCAGTTGTTAATACTGCATCATCATCATCACTGTGTGATATTCGAAATAAACTTATCGAATATGGAAATAAAATTCTGATAATGCCGAATATTAACTGACTGAGACTTCTGATACAGAATATGAGTTCGGTGATGTCCAAACAACACTGGGAGACTTCTACTCAGACGAAATTCACCATAGAGTAAAATGATTTTTCTATCCATATTCCTGACACAAAAGTTATGAGCAATATATCCTCACTTACAAGTCATGTCACTTAAACTTCATGAGTGATACTTTATTCAAAATTTTATTTTATTGGTCTCAAATACTCTCGACAGGAATCCGACAAATTCAAGCAGGTTCAACTTTCGCTAACTTTCATGAATATTCTGTCCAGCTGATATCCTTACAAGATGAGAAGCATTTACTTGAATAGTAATCAAATGATTTGTATAATGACACCTCTTTTTGATAAATCTCAGGATTATTGTGATTTCTATTGCTTAGGGATGAATTATTGGTGTTTTATTTTGTGAACTCAACTGTTAGCAAACTGATCAGTTAAGGAACTGTGATACATTTACACAGATAGACTGCTGTGGGATAAGTTTTGAAAATGCTGAAATCACCCAGATTTTATGTTGAAATCGCTCAAGAGTTATATCTGCAAAACTCTTAAGGAAATCCCTTTTGGTCAGATGTGACAGTTGTGCTGCCAGTGCCTATTTATAAGAAAAAGAACACGTAAACAGCGAAGCAAATTTTCTTTTTGATGATTCATTTTCATAAGTTGTTGTACAATCGTAATTATATTTAATAAACAATTTATAAGACAACCAATCACATAATGGTAAGATTTGTCCTCGAAAACGTGTTACGTAATGTTAGGTGTAGTCCAGAAGTGGTGACTAGTTGAAAATTATAAAAAGGGGTCTGAAGTTGGGATGACATTTAAAGTGTGAGAAAATGACTAATCAGTATCATTGGGTAGAGTGGATAAGAACTAGTGGAAAGATGATAACCTGTTTTTATAAAATCTGTTTGAAAACGCAGTGTTACTGATAAACAGGAATAGAATGATAATCAAATAAGGATGATGAGAATAATAATAGTAGTAAACAGTAAAATGAAGCAAATTACAGTGAGGACGTTACTCTAGCCGGAGTAGGGCGAGTGAATGTGTGTACTGATTTTGAATACATAGATCTGGTTTCAGATCTCGAATAGTCCATGATTCTTCTGTGTACAGATGGCGTATTTGAAGTCTTTTCGCGCGTTATTGAGGGACTCCGTGAAGCTTCCATGAGTGGTTGCTCGATTTTCAGAATGAACAAAGTGCTCGAGGATGGAGCTGCCGGTATTCTTCTTCTCCTTTCTAGCTAGCTAGTCAATCTGGACAGTGTTCCAGAATACGTGTGCGCACTTGGCATTGCAAACGGCCAGTATACTTTGCTCTAAACGAACAAGTAAGTAAACTGATAAATACACGCTGACGTGGCCAAAAGCGGTATCTTATCCTTAACGTTACACTGGATTAATTGTCTGCTGGAGAAGATGATGGGTAAGGTAGCTAGCTCAAATGTCTCCATCAGACATTTATACAGGCAGTTTCTAAGAATTTCAGCTTCAATGTCACCTTTAAACTCCAGGTTCATGAAGAGAGTTTTCTTCGGAACAGTTGTGATATTCGGCATCCGTTTACTTATGAAGTTAAAAAATAAACACCCATGACGAATGTCAGTGGGAAACATGTCAGGAGAATGCAGTAAAATAGCAATAGATAGAATGACATAGATTTCATAGTATCGCCAGTTTACTGATTGAGTCAGAATGTAATTCAGAGAAAATCCCCAAACACTTTGTGCCAGTAAATTCTATGATAATTTAAGCTACACGTTATGTTATATTATAGTACAGAGACTTGTTGTTCAAATGCGTTTGTATTTTACAACTGACCTGGATGTTGGACAACTAAAGGTGCACATGCGAACTAACAGACACTGAAATTTTACTAAATACTGGAGATTTACTGCAAAGTGATAATGGAGATAATTATAATAAGTTTGTTACACGGAAACTATTCACCCACTTAGTGTGCATAGTTAGCTGTCAGCAAACGATGAAGCTTTCACTAATAATAATATAAAAAATTGTTAAAACGGGAAGTAAATTGGCGCCGGACTATTAACTAAGGAAAACTATACAACCGCTAATGTAGTTATGAATGAAAAGGTGGAATCTGGTGATTATCAATATCAAAATGTTCACTAATAACTGTAATCCTAATGTGGATCAAAGATACTGTGTTATTCAGGTGTTGGTTTGCGTGGATTTCATGTTTGGTTTCTGGATTTTATCATGAACTGACATCAGTTAGAGGACCATTGGAAATCCACCAGTGAGTACTAGATGGCTGTTTCTTCCTTGTTTGGGACACTTCGTCAGTACACACCCACCAACAGGCTCCGAACACAGGACCTTCTTGTTACAAGTCTGGCAAGCTCGTTCAGCCACTGTCCTGTTGTATAGGAACCGATAAAGATGTCAAAAGCAGTATCAGAAAGGTATGATACATCTTCATCAATATGAAATAAGTTCAAAAATCATCTGAACTCCACCTCAGTATGAAGAACAAGATTCGGATTCTGTTCAACACAAATATCAAGTCAGTCAGTAAGTTCTTTTATACAGGTGAGAATGTTGCACTGCGTGTCAGGAAAAGCATTTTCAACAGACCACTGAAGACTTTCATCAACAGCTGCCTTCAGTGACTCCATACTGAAGATCAAATGGCCGGTCAGCTAACCAGAATCAATTAGCAAGAAGAAACTCTGGTTGTGAACAGACCAATAAACGAGATCCGATCGCTCAACAAATATGTAGAAGAAAATGGAGGTGGATTGGTTTTACACCACTGAGGAGGCAATCGAATGACATCACGCGCAACGCAGGCCATTGCTCGAGTGGAATCCCAGCGGGACACGAAGAGTTGGGTATGTGTCCGAGGGCGACATGGAGGAGATCGTATGTTGAGGAGAAGATGAGAGATTATGGACAGTCATGTGGTCAACCAGATGAAGACAACAGCAGAGAATAGAAGAAAGTGTAGATGTGTTGTTGAAGCCCTGTGTTCCACTCAGAACCTAAGGGATTAATGACAATAATATTAATAAAATGTGGTTATATGTTAAGCGCAATAAATGTACAACTGAAATTTGATGTACAAGGAAAGTGTTTACAGAAACTGGGGATTTCACTTCCCTTTTTTTCTGCATTTTATCAGATGAACATTGTGAAAATGGTTTACACTCTTTAAACAGATAATTTTTTTCTGTGCATTTTAATTTTTTGTTTTTTATTTTCGCTAATTAAAGCAAGCTCAAACTATCGCTAGACAATTCAATTTAATCCCTCCATCCGTCGATCAAAATGAACTGAATCTGCTGAATAGAAGTCAATTACAAAATATGCGAGAAGTTTGTGTCAAATTAAGTAAGTGAAAAAATGACGATTACTGAAATCAACTTTATCAACTTTTTAAGAGCCCCCACTAAAAATATAAAAAGCACCTGAAAACACATCATTCTTGATTAGAACAATCATAAAACAAGAAATTGGAAAGTTGCATTTGGTTGTTCTGTGCACTTCATCTCCGAATGTTGTGCGTGCGCGTATCTGTGTGTGTGTGCGAGTGTGTGCTTGTGATTATGTGTAAGCAGACAACAATAGTGTGCACAGCAATCCTCCTTCATTTTCTCCACTTTCTTTTATCAATAGAAAATGATATTTGACTTCCAGAAAATGCAGACTTTCTCTTCAACACTTTAAGACATAACAGAGAAGGATTGAAGAGAAGATGAAGAAATATCAAGCATTACTGAGATTCTTTTGAGAGCAAAAAAATAACTACTCAAAGAACTTCATTTACGGAATCATCAACAACCAATTAAATATGCTCAGAAACAAATTCCGAAAGCATGGGCCTCAACCGTTGTCATTCCATATAGACCATCAGACAAGTAAGTATTGAAAAAACAGAAAGATTGAGCGAAGAAATATTTACTTTTCAATTAGATCCTCTTCTATGGTTCTACTCTAATATATATCCATAGCATTTTTATTGCAATACATAACAATTTACCAAACACGTGGCGATATGTTTGTTAGCAATAATTAACCAGTGTCAAAATGTCAATGGGTAGATAATTAAGGAAGAAAATTAATACACACAATTAAAAGGTAGAAATGGATAGAATAAATTAATTTTACAAGAATAACACGTAATTAAAGAAGAAGTCAAAATAAAAATAGAAATAATTTGGACAATTATAATTTAATAGGGGAGGGGGGTGACGTAGTCCTGTCTTGTAACGATGGCCACGGTAAGCAAAGTGGCTGTACAAATTTCTTCTGTACACATAGGCTTGGTTTCTTCTGGTGGATTCCAATTGCTTCAGCTGTCTGTAAAAGACGAAATCTTAGAGCAAAGTTAAGATTAGTTGGAATACGATAAATAATTTTAAATGCAGTATTCACATCGACTTTGTGCTCAGTATCAACAAGGTGTGCTAAAATAGAACTACGAATAGATAGTGTTTGTCCCTTGCTTAACCACGCTGGATGATGTTCAGAAATACGACGGTGAAACTGCCTAATTGTACGCCCAATGTAGCTGGCTCCGCAGCTGCAGTCAAACTGGTAGACACACATAGAAGAGGCAAATTTAGGTAGTTTGTCCTTATTTCTCGAACACAGAAGTAAGTATTGAATGAGCATGATATCAGAGTTTTCTTCAAAACACCAGACTCACACACACTACAAAGCAACCTTGTCCATGTGAAAGACCAAATCTCTAATTGTGTCTACAAAATAAAGAGCCTGCACTATGATGCGATATACAACTGACCAACCTCGCGAGAGAGTAATCGAAATCAGAAGAAATGAAGACGGTAGAGTTTGTATCTGTTCGACCACCGAGAAATCCAGTTGAACTAAAGAACCTTCAGAAATTATCAGCCATAGGCGGTCTACACACTTTGCTATACAATTAGGCCATAATATTGATTTTGAAAACATTGAAATAATGGAGAAGGATTTCAGAAATCACAACGAACGCCTAATATAATGAGAAGCACTTGATATCCAACGGAATCCAAATTGTCTACTGAATAGAAATGATGAAGTAAAACAGAATTCGACCTGGTTACAACACCCGCCTCCCCCTCTCCCATGAAATGACAAAATCCACACGAATATGATAAGCAATTTCATTATTTTATACACTTATCAAATCCAACAATCTATACATGATTTTGTTATCTTCATTAGTTGGTCAACTTGACAAGGTACAGATTACCCCATGCTGATGAATGATGATTAGGTTGTTATATAAAACAACTTGAAATTTTGTAAATTCTGGTTTAATAATACTACTACTTTGATAAAGCCATTAGCAGCAGCACTGAATAGCGAAATGTCACTAGAAACAACGAAATCGTTTTGTTTTTCATTCACACTGGGAAATACAAAAAGAACTTTTATTATAATGAATATTACATACCCAATACCCAGAGTTATTCAAACTATTAATTGTGAACTTGATTTGGATATATACAGACACAACAGAAGATAAGTAAATACAGTATCAACATTTACAAGGATAATGACTTGGTTACATGATTTCTATGTATCCTGAACATACAAACTTGCTGTAAAAAGGAGAGAAAATGAGCTAAATGACGACTTACATCATTGGTAGTATTGTGGTTCAACTATATGAAGTCACCGATAGCTGAATGGGACTACTAGTGCATGTTTCTGGGAAACAAAGAAAAGATAAATGTTGCACAGTTATTTTGTAGCCCTGTCTCTCTTTATTATTGTATTTTGTTTTTATTCCTTTAAGTTCCGAGTGAAACATAGGACTTCAAGCCTGAGCTCTGAAGTTTCAGTAGCAGTGTTGCCTTTCTACGCAGTGTGGTTGCTAGCCTCACATTCAGCTTCCTATATATTTTTAGGGCCCACAACCAGCGAGGGGAGGTTAAGATTTCCACCGGCCGAGAATTGAATCCTGGAACACATGCACTGTCTTAGGTGGTTGTAGGTAATCAGCAGTCGTCGCTGACTACAGCACTGGGTGACACTGGTTCAAATCTCACAAGGAACATGAGTTCCCTCTATTCTGCAGATACGTCTTGCTGAATGATGAGTGCCAACTAGCATGAAAACTAGGTCCAAGGCTTCTTGCCGATTGCCTCCAACCATTTAGTATCAACAATTCACACTGCATTGTGACGGCAAGCCACCTAGTAGCATGGTGGCCACATTGCAAACTTTACTGATAAAATTCAGTCTTCAGCGAAGATCAGACTAGACACGCACACTACACTAGTTACTGACTAGTATCCAATCAAAAATACTTATATTGTCTGTCTAGTTTGTTATATTTATACATATATACAAATAAATAAAAGTAAGTTCCGAGTAAACTATGAAGAAAAATCATTTTTCATACATTTGGTTCCTTGGTAAATTTCGATAAAGTAAGGAAGACGAAATTTGCAGTATAAAATGATCTCTTTCTATTTCACAGGTTCTCATCATCTGCAGACTACCTGAAATTACAATGGTGATATAGACGACAATAACATACTTTAATGTTTGAGTGGTAGTAGAGAAGAGATACTATGAAACTGACGCATCTAAAATGTAAGCATTATAAGCCGCTCAAAACTGGATAAATAGCCTGCTGATGTCACCTCCAACTGCCTTGATGAATTTACGTGCACTCGCGGGAACAAGTACATTGGAAGGAAGAAAAGAAGGACTTCTATCCGGCTTTCTGAACACATTCCAAGAAACTTGTTCGTGGAAGGAAGCAAATACTCTCAGAGTGCAATTACCAGACATATCGTTGATACGCGTCATCTCGTAGAGATTTCTAATTCCTTCAAAATATTAAATAGAAAAAAAAGACAGCAAATTTAATACGATTCGCCTAAGCGATCGCAATCAAACGATTCAAACCAGACTTATGCACACAAAAAGAGAATGTGATTAATCTCTCACTCCCCTCATAACTAAATTTTGATTTTGATTGCGTTAATTAGTCACCTAATTCAGTGATCTCAACTCACTGAGCAAATCTCAATCTTATAAACTGAAACCGCTTTTGTTTTCTGAGTTGCTACGTAAACCTACAAGCTAACACTGTTTGTTATATTTTCTGTCCTCTGTCCCACGCCTCCTCCCTCTTTTCTACTTCGAAAGCGTTAAAAATTAATGATGAAAACTTAAACTAAAAATTGTAATGCTTTCATTCTTTTTTGGATGCGTCAATTTTATAGTATTGCGTCTCTGTTACCACTTAAACAATAAAGTATACTATTATCATCTACATAACCATTGTAATTCCATGTAGTTTGCAGCTGATGAGAACCTGTGAAATGGAACGATATCATTTTATACTACAAATCTGGTCTTTCTTTCGTTATCGGAAAATAATTTTCCAACAAGCGTATTCACCTACGTCTACTTTTATCAGGAAATTCGCAATACGGTAAACACCTTCAGGATGCTAAGCAAGTTAGTAATAAAGTGACAATGTAATTAACTATTTTCACGACAAAGGATCATCTGTTGACATAGCGCATTCTTTAAGGAAATAAGCGAACATTGCAGACACTCTGACTGAAGTAAGATGACAGTTCATGAGGTCTCTTCGACTGGCAACTACATATTCATTTTCAAAAGTGATTTATTCGGTTTCCAATCTTACTGAAAACATGCCTTTCACTGAAGGTTGCAGACATAGTTCACTACGCATTGTCGAAACAGAGAGATGTCGGTCATTAAGAGCTCCTTACAAATTATTTCATAACGTCTTATATGAAAGTACGAATCCTGGCAGTATCCTGAATGAAGAGAAAGGGTTGGAAGACTTATTCTTTGTGCATATTGTGTATGCATATAATAACACAACAATGATATAAGATTAGCTGTTTTTCTTCATATTTCAGATATTGGTGTCATGACTGGATCTCCACTTGCCGGTGGAATTCTGACTGGAAAATACATCGATATTATTCCAAATTTCTCAAGAGCGACATTGAAGGTGAGTTTTTAAGTGAAACAATAATTAATCTACCGCAATATTGGTTATATATTGAAGAATATATCGAAGTGAATCCAGGAGTGAGACAAGGCTGGCTGGCTGGCTGGCTGACTATTATCACTGATCTATCAAGCTTCCAGCTTGAAGCCCTATGTTCCACTGGGAACGCAAAGGAATAAAATAAGTAATTAATAAAAATTTACTTGAAACACTCCTTTCTTTCAGCAACAATTCAAGCGAGTTTTTAGTCGAGCATGGTATAGACAGCTGCATTTAGAACAGTTTACAGAACAATTTTCGAAATGATTGTCGAAGAGATTATGCACCTAACTTTACCAGTTGAATATTTGTGAAAAAGAAAAACTACTACGCTTACAACATGAAGAAAAGATGGTCCTATATATTGTAACTATTTATTGAGCAATTTGAATAAAGCAAGAACAACAGATTGTGCCGAATGAAATGGTACCATCACTGCTTATTTTGTTGAGCTGCAACATTGGCTCTTATGATGAATTTATTCGGCAAATGCTTACATTTCAATGAGATTTAACTTCAAATTCGATAGATTATAGGTAAACTTTCCAGAATATTCTGGGAAGACGTAATACTTTTTTTTCATTTGTCAAGGATTTCACCAGTTTTATAAAAGTTTGCATTTAGTTTCCGTTGAAGGTCTTGAATGAAACTCACGAATTTGATCCAGCATATTATATTCAAACTGCTGACAACACCATCAATGGATCGAGATTTTGTTGATTCTGTGTGTGGTTTGTTAATGTGTGCCATGGATGTACAATTCCATTTTGACAACACTCATTATCGCCAAATGGATGGTGCCAATGATTATGAACATTGAATGTTTGCTTATTGGCTTTGGTCGCCATTGGCGGGCAACTTGAAGGTGCGAGTGATTCGACAATGTACAAGTTAGAAGAAGACGGAAGAATGTGAATAGAAACTTAGTACAGAATATTGATTTTAACAGTCGGCGAATACAATTTCTTGTTATCCACTGTGTTTTGGAATTAAAGTCTGTACTTAGTGGTTGTCGATTCAGAGCGTCTTCGGAAATAATAGAATCTTGGGATTAAGTTCCTTCACAGATGGTGTAACTATGATCAGTCCATTTTTCCCTGATTTAGGAGTTATCTTCATGCTCAAACTTGAAGTAATAAGTTGAATCATGCAATCAACGAAACAACTTCTTATTGCCGATGTGTAGATGACACATTTTTAGTGTGCAACAATGAAAGTCATGCTTCCTACCTACTCGAATTATTCATTATTCGAGTTACATACAAATATTCAATTTACTATGGAACATGAAAATGATGGAACGTTTCATTTCCTCGGTATTGTCATGCAACGCCTAGAAGATGGTAGTCTCCAGAGGTGAATTTATAGAAAGCCTACACGGAATGAGCAATACTTGCATTATAATAGATTTTGTCAAATTGCTAAAAACGAGCACCAGTACATACTCTGCTCTATAGAGTCAATCAGGAGAATATATTCTACGGACAAATTACAGGGAGAATTTCTGATTCTCGCATGGATGTTGAAAAACAACGGTTGCCCTAAGGGATTAATTAAAAAAAAAATACGGAAGATGTGAAGGCTCAAAAATTAAACAAAACACTTTAGGAGAGAAAAGGCTCTCTTCATTCATTAGCTCTGTTTTAAAAGTGACAAAATTGCAGGAATAATCGACAGAAGATTGAATATGTCACTAGTCAGAGCCTATTGTGCGGGTGAGTTGGTTCCCATTTATCGGACACCATGATCTCTGGTGCAATCACATATATGGTGCAACATATACCCTTCTCATGTTAACTCCAACTTTGTATACAAATATACACTGGTAGAGCAGAAAGAAGAGGACATATCTCCGATTCCCTGCATGCGTAACAAAAGGTTTACGTATCAAGGGAACAAACACTTACAACTAGACCATTGCCAGTCATCTCCTTGATAAGGATCAAGCGAGTTACCTCACAAGATCATTTTAAATTAACAACAGGCAGAAAGAGTTCAGTTCTCCTCAAGTTTGCTGAAGGAATCTCCATCAAGCGCCTGAAACCTGAATTGTGTGTTCAGAAAGAAGCGTTTATCAGTCCTTCCTTGACCTGTCTGGTAACTGGACGTCTTCACTGCCTCTCTCTTATTCGGCTACGTAATCCTTGGCTATAAACTCACCCCTTCCACACACACACACGCACTTTGATATAGTGTGATTTTGCTTGTTTCTTGTTTCTGTGATTTGAATTGAACTCAATACATTTTCACTCAACGTATTAGTCACTCATCATCTTACTCACCTCTCGTCTTTATTACGTAACTCCTTTACCATTGTATGCATGCATACATTTACTTTGTTCGAAATTAAACTATCAGTGTAAAAACCAAACAGGCTTAACCTTCTGATCAACGCACACTAAGTCCGGTAATTTGTGTCAGCTGACATCATTTAAGATGCAAGTATGTCAAAAAATTGTTGTGCAGACATACTTACTAATTTCTTTAGGCTGTAAGCAGGCAGCTGATGAGAATCCAGCAAAATAAACAAAGGATGGCACCATATTATTCTGCACAAGCCACTGTTGTTCTTGCTTTATTCAAATCAGTAAAGGAGAATAAATGCATGAATTTATCCAGGAATATTCATGGTAAATAACATGTCTGTATACTCAAACTGTGCATTTCATAGTCTTTTTGTGTAAATCTACCCTGGAGTCTGTGGCACCCACCTATTTAATTCCCCTATTACAAGCTGAATCTTAAGATGGATGCATCAGAGAAGTGGTACTCATTTACACTTTCGATTTAAGGCACGAAAAATACCCATCCAGTCATGAATATATGAGGTTCCAATAAGGAAAAGTATGAGAACGATGACAGACTAGGTTATTTGTCTATCATAAGCAAACAATTTTAAAATTTCACATTCCATACAAAATCAACTTGGTCAGATGCCTTACAAATAGAGCAAGAAGTATCTGTACAGATGCTCCTTAGAAAATGAATTCGAATACATACATATGGGTTATCCTAGTAGATTTGCAAGGAGACACATAAACACTGAGCATAATAAAGAGAAGCTGACAACAGTTAGAAAGAAACAACTATTTCTAACATTGCAATTTAATGGGGACGTCGCTAGTGAAGTCTTACATCTGAGATTATCAAGAGCAATAAAACAGACTTTTACTGCCTCCACCCTTTGTTTGTCATTTTCCAGCCGACCAATCATGAGTGCTCAGGCGAAAGACAAGCTACCTAGCTGTGTCACCTTTATGTGTATCTACAAATGTAGCTGCTCCTGTGGAGAAAGCTATATAGGGCGAACAACTAGACAGCTTGACAAACGCATTAATGAGCATCTGCCTTCATAGTTCGGAAAAGGCCAAATAAAATCCATAAGAATTTCTATTTTGATTCATTTGATTGATAACGGTTACCAAGTGTACAGAAGAAGTGCCTTCAAAGTTATCTATCGCATTCCATCTTGCCTTCCGAACGAAAATCAATCCCGTCTTTTACACATTGCTGAAGCTATGGGAATTAATTCGAGAGAACAATCCCAATGTCTTTGCATACAAAAGAAGTTTGTTCTACCTTTGTCTCTCCCTTGGTCTAGGTAAAGTCTAATTAAACCCCTCCCACCCTTTCTTATTTTCCATTTCCTTCGTACTTTTATGATATTTATTTAAACTCTGATTATTCGTCTACTTCCCCTTTAGTATTACGTAACTTTCAACATTTGACCTAATTTATTTATTGAATTGTCTACATATACACATATTACTACCTCTCTTATTCTTATCACTACCTGCATAAACCTTATTATCATTACTTTTGTTATCATTATAATCATCGTTATTACTGACGTTCAAAACATTTAACACATTATTACGATTACATCTACAAACTCACCAACATGAGTTAAAATTTTTATGTATAAATCTATGTGAATTAGAGTAAAGCCTAAAGATCTAATTGGAAACAACAGTATTGTTCGCTTATATGTCATGTTCTAGTTCGCAGTATGTCAGAATATTTTACCAATCCAGTCGGATCCTTGAAGTCATTTTCCACAAGCACCCGGAATTATTTACTTCACCTATAGAAGGGAATAATAGATGAGCGGTTGACCAAATAAACCGAACGAATACTTATTGTGTTTTAATATTATAAATCATCTATGCACCCTCTATCTCATTATTATTTCTCAAACCTTCATTTCTCATATCTTGTCAAAGGGTCAACAGCCTATGCAAGATAAACTTCTCAGTACAGAGGGTTTAACACAAAGGGAACAAGTTAAGCAGCTGTGCAAGATAGCCAGTCGAATTGAATGTACCTGTGCACAACTGGCTATTGGTAAGTCATTCTTATCCTGAAATTTTTCTATGTCATTGTGGTGTGTGCTACTGTGATAAGATTTATCAATGGTATATATATATATATTCATCAGCATGAACAAACATCAAATAGCAGGGTGATAGATTTGATGTCAGTCAGAGACAGCAAATGATTCAGAAACACAATACGAAGGAAGAGGAGAGGTAGCATGACAGGGAAGATCTGTGCAGATGATGCTTAGAAGATAAGGTGTATATAAATTTGTCTTCTACTGTTATATCGAATGTGATGTATATGAGCAATAATTTGTGCTCGAAACGTCATCAGTTAATATTACTGTGTAACACTGTGTGATTTATGAAAATAAAGTCTTATCCATAATGGAGTGATGTATATGTGTGAATATAGGCTGACTGATGATGGATGCCTTCTCAGTTAAGTGAACAAGGCTTTTATCAGATGGTTGGAGGCAGACAGCAGGAAGACTTGGTCTACTCAGGTTTCGTGCTAGTTGGCATTCATCAGTCAGTAAGGCAGGGGTATCTTCAACCTTGAAGGGAGGAATTCATTTCTCTTCTGAGATTCGAACCCATGCCATCCAGTGCCACCTGCAGTCAGAGACGTTACCAGTGAGCTATCCGGGCTCGCGATTCACCTCTTGTAGGACTATATTAGATACTTTTTGACTGAACAGGAGGTCAATCGCGAGCTCATTGGTAACATCTCTGACCGCAGTTGGCACTGGGTGACTCGGATGGGAATCTTAGCAGGGAGATGAGTTCTTTCGATTTGGTTGCAGATACGCCTGCCGTGCAGACTGTTGAATGCCAACTGGTACAAAACATAGGTTGAGTAAGGCTTTCTGTGGCCGATTGGCTCCAACCGTCTAATAACAACAATCCTGAGTGTACCGTGATGGTGAATTACTTAATGGCATGGTGGCCGTATTACAAACTTGACTAATAGAACTCAGTCTGCACAGATGATAGGACTAAATTCACGCATTATACCAGTTACTGACGAGTGCCTTGCAAAAAACCGTTTCTTATCTGACAATGGAGAACATTACGTGCAACATTTATCTGACGATATTCTTGAAAAACTGAATAATTCTTACTTTCGAAAATCAGGTACTTTTACCAGCAAAGTTGAATTTATCCAAGAATGTTTTTAAATTGTGTGCCACATTAGCTAACACGAACACTAAACTCACAACACCCTGTTTGTTAGACACTATATATATATATATATATATATATATGTATATAACATAACGTTCTAAAGTACTTTCATTCCAGTAGTTTACGAATGATAAGAATCAGCTTAAAATAGTAAGGATTTTATGACTCATCATGTGATTCATCGGATGATCGGATGATTGTAAAATTTCATCATCTTTTCCTCACCTTCGTTTTGATTAGATCGACAAACAATCAAAATGTTCATCTGTCATCAAAATTAGACGAATTGTCAGTCAGTTAGACCAATCCGTTTCCACTGTCCTGGGCCAATTTTGATGTGGTAAAAAATATATACGTAAATATGACGTGTTTTTCTTAATAAAAGTAGTATTCTAACAGTCACATGTCAGTCCGCGTTTTCTCACATAAACGTGGCTCGGTGAAGTGCAGGGTACCACGGACGACCAGGTTTATTTAACATTTCAGTTGAGTTGCTCATTGTGTCAGTATTATTATGCCCAAACGCATCAGTCCACTCGCTCATATTAGCTGGTGGCGAGTTCATTTCAACTAGTGACGCAGATCGTAACAACCTCACATCAGACAGTCATCATTGTGGGCTTTAGTGATTCATAACAAATTTGTAAAATGTGCTCAAACGATTTTATTCTAATAAAGCTATTTTTCTCCATTCACTCTGTTTCCTTGATTCAGCTTGGTGTCTTCGGTGTCCACATGTTAGCAGTGTTGTTATTGGAGCGGCAACAGTTGATCAGTTACAAGAGAACATAATGTCGATCATGGTAAGAAACTGAATCTAAAAGCCTATACATATATATATATATTCTAGAGATTTAGTTACATTATTATTATTATTATTCCCTTAGGTTCTGAGTGGAACACTGAGCTTCAACAGCACGTCGTTGTTACCCTCTGCTCCATGCAGTCGGCCTTAGTCGGCTCCAAGACTGCCATAAACTCTGATCTCCTCCTCACATTGTTTTGTCTGTGTCACCCTCGGAAGGCAAATTTGTCACTCGAGAGTTTGTTTGATGTGAGATGTCACCCAGTGGTCTCCTCGACGTGTGTCCAATCTATTAACATTTCTTTCGACATTTTGTTTAGCGATGGGTACTCGTTTAGTACTCTGAGTTCCAGAAATCTTTGCCGCCTATCTTTTCCAACCAGCCCTTCGTTCACATTCACAATTCGCATTCTACACAGTTCGAGTGGTGAAATTCCGGCGTAGTTTCTTTCCCCTGCAAAGTGAGATTTTTGAGATCATAATGTGTGATCTGTTTGATGGTAATCAGGAAAACAAGCACATTTGCAAAAATTTATATACCACTGATAAAACATATAGTTGTCAGCTATCTGATCTACAGTTTGAAGCAAAGGCATCTGCTTATAGAGTCTGGAAGCTGTTTGCAATACTTTTGGTGTATCGCACCCAAAGTCTGTCAACCACATGACATCACTGACTTCGAATTAATGGGGAAAATCCGAATCTAAATGGAGCAGGTTACCAGACCGATTGCAGATTGACAAAGGTCTGCCTCACTACTTCTGACGTTGACATCTTCATCCATGCCACCTGGAGTTGAAATGATGCTGCCTAGATAAGTGATAATTGATCACCTCTGTCTTCTCTATATTCGCTTATTTCTGATGATGAAGGCTGTTCAATTGAAGTGTCAATCAATTATCAGGACTCAGACAGATGTCTTCTCAGAAACCTTTCCTGATGTGTGAGAACTGAGTAGTGGTGTAGATCCCTACTTTCTTAGTAAAACTTATGTAAATTGTTCAGTACCGAATTACAATAAGTTACGAATATAAAGTTCCTTATAACACTGGATCATTCATCTCAAGCACTTTTCAACCCTGATATAAATACTTTAATTGATAGGAAAACTAGCATTCTTCGTCAACGACAGATCCTGAACATTCAACTGTATGTCACACTAATATTACACTGTGGATTTGACGTTGTACTGCACACATTTGAGAATTTGAAATAATATGCTTTCCCCTTGTTCTTTCAGTAAGCTGTCTGATTGCAGTATTGGAGAAATTGAGTTTTTATTCTCAATCACAAGTAGCTTACATACATCACTCTTCTGTGGTTAGCTGTTGTAAGTTCCAACAGCTGGTGAAAAAGGTATTCAGAATTTATTCAGCTGAACTTTAGTTGCATGGCAAGAAACTTTAAAATTGACTACTATTTTATTTTTTTATTCAGATTCCATTTAGTTCAGTTTTAAACAGATTCCACATTAAACTTTATGGGTTGTAACGGTAGAACTCCAAAGACTAGATAAGGATGGCTTATTTGTGGTTTGACATCGCTATTTAGGGAAATTATGTACATCTTATCTTCAACGCACAATGTGCATAGATCTGCCGTGTTGTGCTACTTCTGTCCAGCGTTCGTATTGTGTTTCTTTGTATTCCTTTCACGTTTTCCATATTTTTTGTAACTCTGAATCATTTGCTTTCTCTGACTGACGTCAAATCTATCTTCCTGTTATTTGATGTTATTTTATGCCGATGAATGTCTCTTTATATACACATACTACTAATAAATCTTATCACAGTAGCACACGCCACACATTTATTAATGTTCCATTCTATTTTTCCTTTTTAGATATACCCAAACTTAACGCCCAGTATACTTTCTGAATTGAATTCTCTACTCACCATAACAGATTCCAGTGATAATTTCCTCTAAAAAGACGCATACTCATAAACAATTCGCCACCTCTGCACGTTAAGTGAAAACCAATTTTCACTTGACGTGTGTCAACGTTACACAATTCAAGACAGTATCAGTTAAAATCAAAGTCCATGAAAGTCTACGACACTTTCAAGATTCATGCAAACACGATACTAGTGGAAGGACATGATTGATTTAGAAACCTTCCAACGTTTAACGAATGAATCGTATCTCCAATTATTTTTATTCTTTTTTCTCCTTCTATGATTCATACATGTGCATATTTCCAGATTCAATAATTCACTTGATAAACTGACAGTTTTTAACCCCATTTATTTTCTGTAGTAACATTGAGTTTATGTAAATATAACAAAATGAGAAAATCAGTTTTGGTATGTTATCACTGTTGTGAAATGTTGTCCAGTATTCTCTTATCAGTTGTAGATACTTTGAATAAAGTCTTGCTTGCTTTTCATTGTCATCCAGCTGGACAGATTAACCTTGTTTTCCCACTCACAATTGATTCTACCATGTGAAATTTTCATATTGGAATCCTAGATGTGTAAATGAGAGAGTGACTTTAAGCAGACGTTGGATATCAGGCGCTTCTCACTTCCCCTTGAAATTTAAGTCTTCATAACTATGAAGCAGTACTTCCCTTCGTGACTTTCGTTTGTTTCACACCGTTCAGTATGTATGAAATGTGTTATTGAGACAAAATGATATTTATTATTTTAGAATAATTCCCTTGGGTTCTGGGTGGAACATAAAGCTTCAACAACACATTCCGCTCCTTTCTGTTCTCCGCTGTCCTCTTTAGTTTACTGACCACACGATCGCCCATAATCTCTAATCTCCTCCTCACCATACGTCATACTTGAAAAAACGCCCAACTCATAATTTCCTTCGTAGATTCCACTCGAGCAAATGCCTGCACTCCGCGCCATGTCATTCAACGGCCTCCTCAGTGACGTATGACTCATCCATCTCCATTTACTTCCACATATTTGTTGAGCAATCGGCTCTCGGTTGGTTTGTTCCCAGTCAGAGATTCTCGTCGCTAATGATTTCTGGCCGTTTGATCTTCAGTATAGAGATAGCGGAGGCAGTTGTAGGTAAAAGTCTGCAGTCCGTTTGAAATCTTCTTCTTGACGCGTTACTCAAGTCTCTGACCCATATTGAAGAACTGATTTGGTGATAAGTGCTGGTTGTTATCGCCGTTGGCTGGTTATTTGGTTATACTCATTACTTCCATCTTCTCGATGTTCACATGCAGTCCTGTCTCCGTCCCTAGCTGACATCTTCTGAAAGTTTGTTGGTTTTCGCCTGCCCTTAAGTCTTCGAGTTGGTGTGATGTTAGAAATAAATTATACACGCACGAAGTCCAGAATTTCTAGAGTCTTCATATCTATCAGTCCAGCGTATTCCTGTCTTCTCACTCCCCACACACAGTGTGACGCATAATCCAGTCCAGCACATTCAATAATACCATCGGTGATAATAGTCAAGCAGCCAGACAGCCTTGTCCTAATGCAGTATTCACTTAACAGCCAGGCTATGCTGGGTTTTCCGGAGTGGATCACCTGACACGTAGTGTTGTCATATAGCTGACTGTTGAATGAGGTTGATAAATATTTGTGCACTTCACACCATAGTGTTGATATGATTATGAGCAATAGTTTGTGCTCGAAACGTCATCAGTTAATTTAACTGTACAACACTGTGTGATTTATTAAAATAAAATCTTATCCATTATGGAGTTACCACAGTGCCCAAGTTTTATACTTATATCAATAGTGTTGAAGTAGTTAACAGATTACTTTGCAGTCAATGCTGTGGAGTGTCTTTTCGAAGACAATGAAATTGAGGTAGATGGAGATCTGACTGTCATTCCATACACTGTACTGTGATGATGTTGGTTCACAGCTATGCAAACTGATCAGCATATGATTAGGCAAAATCATAATAACAAGAAGACGTAACTTATGTGTAATGAAATGTGTCAGGTAGAATAACATAAATGGAGCTCACTGCTTCAAGTGTTTCATTGAAGGAAGTTAACTGTACAGCACTTTAAAGTATCATTCACTGCTATTGCGCAAAACCACAAAAGCTACTGAGAGTGATGCAAAAAACAAAAGTAACATTTACCGAGTGAATATGTTACCTTTAGTACAAATCATAATCAATTTTACACCAAAACCTTTGAAATTTAACAACTTCTGAAGATAAAATCAAAGTACATTTGAAAAATACTTGAAAACCTGAGAAATAGAAGATCGAAAGTAACCGTCTGTTGCATCAAGTGCATGGTTCAAATGTTGATCCACTTGATAATTTTCGAATCACATTACACACAAGATCTGATCAAAGCAGGAGCAACAGTGGTTTGTGCAGAATAATGTGGTTATGTTTAGTTCCCAGATGAACATAGGGCTTCAGCCGCACGTCTCCATTGCGTTCGGTTCGCCGCCAACATTTTCACCTGGCTCCACGTCTGCCCACATGCTTTCATCTCCTCTTCACATCACCTCCTCTATGTTGTCACCTTCGCACTTATGACCAAATCACCGCTTGCCATTCGGGTTTCACTCAAGCGATGGCCTAGTGTGTGATGTCACTTGGTGGTTTGTTCATTCAGAGTATGACCAATCCACCTCCATTTCTTTCTGTATATTTATCGCACAATCAGTTCATGCTGGGTTGGTTCGCTCCAAGAGATCCTTGTTGCTGTTGTTTTTTGGCCGGCCATATGATCTTGAGTGAAGTATTGAGCGAAGACAGATGCTGATAAAAGTCAATAGCTTGTTCAAAGCGCCCTTCGTGACCCGCCATCAAGTCTCTCATTCGAATAGTTGGTAGCCATGACTTTACATTGGAGTTGAAAATCCGAATCTTGTTCTTCATGTTGAGTGCTGTTGACCTCCACGAAGACTTGATGGTAATGAAAGCATGCCTTGAGAGAGAGAGAGAGAAAGCGAAGACATCCAGTTACCGCGACAGGGGTAAGGGAAACTAATAAATGCTTCCATATGAACAAAAAAGTCTTGATTCAATCGTTTGATACGGGTCATGAGATGAAAATTGCCAAATCCTCTAAAATCATCAATGGAAAAAGAGACTCCATTCTCCTCAAGTTTGCCAGAACAAACTCTATCAAACACCCGAAAACAGATTTGTATGTTCACAAAGAAACAGTTAGCATCAGTCTTTCCTTGCTCTGAGTGGTAACTGGATGTCTTCAATGCCTCTCTCTCATTCAATTACGTAATCTTCGGCTTTAATCTCACCTCCTCCCACACACATACACTTTGACAAAGTGTAATTTTGCTTGTCTCTTGTTTCCATGATTTGAGTTGAACTCAGATCATTTTAACCTAATGTATTAGTCACTCATCATATTACGACCTCTTATCTTTATAACATAATTCCTTCACCAGTGCATTCATACATTCACATTGTTTAAACCTGAACTGACCGTGGAAAAGCTATATTAGTGTAGTATTCTGAACACCGTTCATCAAGTCCAGAACATCCTGTCAACTGATATCATGTTTAATTTGCAAGCCATAAGCAGTTGATGAGAAGCCAACGAAACAAACATTGATGATACCATCTTGTATTCTGCACAAACCACCACTGTTGTTCTTGCTTTATTCAAATTCATGTAGTGCGGAAATAGATGTATGAAGATCTGATTAATTATATCAAATCAATGTTGCATAGACATGAAATTTTCGAGTAATTTATGTACACTCATACAATGTACACCAAGAATATATATTCAAACTGAGTGACGTAATACAATTGACAGGGTTGAGTGGAATTCAACTAAAACTAGACGACAGTGAGGTTAAAAACAGTGATAATGAGAGTTCGAGATTTGACATCGGGTGGGGGAAGAAAATGGATCCGATAAATCCCAACACCAGATACGTAATATTTTGCTGCAGTCACAGACGTTTCCACTGAACTATTTTAGATCGCGATTGACCTTCCGTAGGACTGTATTAGACAGTTTGATTGGACACTAACTGGTGTCATGAGTGTAGTCCTTAGTTGGTCGACAAGTGCCAACTAGCACGAAATCTAGTTCGAGCAAGCCTTCCTGGTGACTGTATTTGACCATCTGATAAAAGGCCTTTTCGGGTATTCGTGTCAGCACGATTATATATCTTTCAGCCGATCAGACTTCTTTTGTACTGGGAAATGAAGTGAAACGTCTACATACCATCCATCATGATAGAGTGGTATTATTTCTTTCGAATTCACTGTGAATTATGTCTCTGACATTCAAAAGCACAAACCGCAGTATCTGCGAACGAGATATGAATCTTGAGACCACTGTTAACAACTGATATATCGATCTTCGTAATTGAAAATATTCCATCAATAAAAATGAACACAAATTAGGTTACAGCGAAATGTGTAACTGCTCTAGAAAAATTTATTCCAAACAGTAAGGTGTTATTTTTGAGTGAGACATTTTCAGCAATAGTTCTTCAATCCCCTGCTACTTAATGGAACGGAAATTAATTCACGGAAAATACCCATCCCGACATGAATATTAGAAGAACAAAGTTCAGCGTAGAGTCTCTTTTCGTCGGCGAATTCATTCATTTAGCTGTGCTTATGTAGTCCTCATGAAGTATGACTACGATTCCACTGACTTTATCAGGCCATATTAGAATGATCTCTTTGTTGTTCATTAATTCTTTCAGTTAATGTTTCCTGCTTAATATGGAACTTCTATTTACTCTGATATTTATAGACTTATGACAGCTGTCTAGGACTGGTGGCGTGAATTGATGGAGTTTCTCTTCAGATGTTGGTACCAGGGCATATGTTTGATTTGTCAGCTTTTCATACTGAACCTGGGATTGAAGCTTCTGGATGTTTGATGGTTTCGCGCAGAATTTTGAACATAGGGATAGTGCTCCTATTTGAAGGTTTCAAGGTTCAATGTGAGATGAAATACGCATTTTTCTGGATTGATTGGGAATGGAAGTTCGGTATAACTAATTGACTTCAGGCTGAAAGAGCACAAATCAAACTTCTTCAAACCACAGAAGCATTTGCGATTCCCATTTTAAATCCTGAACTCTGCATACAAAAGGAGAAGTTTGTTCAGTCATTAGATCTACAGTGGGCTTGATCCATCTTAACAACAAATTCGTAATTTTTGTTTCGTCTTCTCCTTGCTTGTTTGTTTCTTAATTGTATTATTTTCTCCCATTACACCCTATGAAATCTTTACCCCTTATTATTACTGCTGCTAACTTGAGTGCTGTCCAATTTAAGGTGAACTCCACTCAACCCCGTTAAATGTATTACGTCACTCAACT